CTGCCCTTGATGGTTTCATTGCTCTCAGGCTGAAGGAAAGCTTTGTAGTGACCAGCAGCCAGGACTGCACCATCAAGATCTGGAACATCCCGGAATCCCTCACTTCCAAAGCAAAAGCAGCCTTGATCTCCAGTCCAGAGCCCCTCCATGCCAGGGTCACTGAGAGGGGCCATGACAAGGTACAGCTCCACCTGATCTTTCAGTGCTTCAGCTTCCCTCCTGCACTGCTTCCTCTGTTCCATGTCCCACAGCCAAGGCCTGACCCTCTTCCTCCTCCTCTTGTGGCTTCCCCAGGACATCAACAGCGTGGCAGTGTCCCCCAATGACAAACTGCTGGCCACGGGCTCGCAGGACCGCCTGGCCAAGCTCTGGTCCTGCTCCGACTGCTCCCTCCTGGGGGTTTTCTCTGGGCACAAACGTGGCATCTGGTGTGTGCAGTTCTCCCCTGTGGACCAGGTGCTGGCCACCTCCTCGGCTGATGGGACCCTGAAGCTCTGGGGACTTCGGGACTTCAGCTGTCTGAAGGTGATGAGAACTTTGCCTCTTGCCCTGGGCAAAACCTTGGGGTTCCTTAAAGATCCTTCCAAAACTTGGGGCTTATTCCTTTGGGCTTTGTGAGTAAATGGGATCCTTGGGGTCTCTCCAAAGGCCTGGCACTGCTGAGCTTCCTTTCTGTTTTGCAGACCTTTGAAGGCCACGATGCCTCAGTGCTGAAGATCATCTTTGTGAGCCGAGGGGCTCAGCTGCTCAGCAGGTTTGTGCCTGGTTTCAGAGTTAAGGGAATGTCTGAGCTCATCCTCAGCACCAAGAGGAATGACTCTTGTGTCCAAAGAATCTTTGGACAGATTTATAGGAAGATACCATGTTTAGGCCAGGCTTTCTTTTAATCTTCCTCCTCTCCAGGTGTCCCGTGGGTTGCATGTGGCTGCTGTGGCACTGCTGGGTTGGGACAAACTCAGTAGACAAAGCTAAGGGTGCATCTTGCCCTCCACATTTTTGGTTAACTCTGCTCCTCTTTGGAAGGAATTGGGATGGGACAAGTCCATCTGATATGTGAGGTGGGACAGAGTAAGAACGGATCTGTCCAGTGATTCTTTCTGTTGTGTTTCTCTTCCAAAAGTGGATCCGATGGTCTCTTAAAACTCTGGACAATTAAAACAAACGAGTGTGTGAAAACATTAGATGGCCATGAGGATAAAATCTGGGGCCTTCACTCCAACAAGAAAGATGACATGGTTGTGACAGCCTCCAGTGACTCCTGCATCACCCTGTGGCAGGTACAGCAGGGGGCTGGTTCCTCCCTGGGTTAATAATCGGGGTAATTGGAGAGCTCAGGGTCTCGTGGCTTGTTTTTCTTGTGTTCTCCTTGTCTGCAGTTTGAAATTAGGTCAGCCTTGCTGACCTAATTGGGGTTTGGGGGTGTTTTTTTGGCCATCCTGTATTTCCCCAGCACTGGAGCTTTGGACGGAAGTTGGGAATTGCTGGATTTAACATTTAAATTACTTGACCCTGAGATTTTGCTGCAGAAACTTGTCTCACAAAAGACAAGTGATGTCAAACATCACTTGATGGCTAAATCAAAACCCTTGTATATTAAAGCAGGATTTGATAAAGTTCTATCCTGTTTTTTTTTAACAGGATGTGACTGAAATTGAGGAGAAAGAAGCACAGGCTAAACAGGAGGAGCAGATTATGAAGTGAGTTGATCTTGTGCCATAAAGAGCTGTGAAAGGCAAACTGTGCAGTGGAACTGTCCACACCTGGAGCCATCCAGCTCCACCTGATCCCAATATTGGCGTGAGGGCATTTATTGACGAGCACCACAAACTTCTTAACTGTTATTGCCAAATCTGCTGCTTTTTCTGTAGTTTTGGTTTTTTCAGCACCCAAAGATTGGTCTCACTCTCACCCCTGATTTGTTTTCCAGAGAGCAAGAGCTTTCTAACCTTCTCCATGAGAAAAGATACCTCAAAGCTCTGGGCCTGGCCATCTCCCTGGACCGGCCTCACACGGTGTTGACCGTGGTCAAGGGTGAGTCCAGGGCGTGCTCTGAAGGCATTTCCTGCCCTCTCTCCTTTCCTGGACACCTCTTCCAGCTAGTTCAAGGCTTCAAAGTCCAGTAATTAGTCTGAAAGCCTGAGTTTTCCCTGAGTGCCATCACCCAGGGTGTCCCTGCTGTCGTTTCTCTCTCCAGCCATCCTCAAGGAGCCTGAGGGGAGGAGGCACCTGGAGGAGAACATTGTTCGGCTCCGCAAGGATCAGAAAGGTTTGTGGCACGACTGAAGCGCTGAAAGCTTTCAGGTCACAGGCTGAAATCAGAATCCTACAATCCTGGAACGGTTTGGGTTGGGAGATTGTCCAGTTCCACCCTCTGCCGTGGGCAGGGACACCTTCCAGTAGACCAGGACCTGGTGTTGGGCACTTGCAGGGATGGGGAATGTCCGTGTGGCACCTGAACCTCTGTGAGAGCCCCGGGATGTTTCCCAGTGCGGGCTCTGCTGTGTGCCAGCCTGGCCAGGCTTCCTTCCCCCACAGAGGCCGTGCTGGCGTTCCTGGTGACGTGGAACACCAACTCCCGGAACTGCCACGAGGCCCAGGCCGTCATGGAGACGCTCCTGAAGCACGAGGCGCCCGACACCCTCCTGCAGTTCTCGGGGATTAAATCCGCCGTGGAGTCCCTGCTGCCCTACACGGGTGAGGCCCTGTGGGGACAGGCGTGGCCTGGGGGGGCTGGCTTGGATCAGGGATTGTGGAATGGTTTGGGGTGGAAGGGACAGGTCGGGTAATCCACCCCTGCCATGGCAGGGACACCTTCCACCATCCCAGGGTGGGATCCCCATCCCAAGCCTCAATGTCCAGCCTGGCCTTGGGCACTGCCAGGGATCCAGGGGCAGCCACAGCTGCTCTGGGCACCCTGTGCCAGGGCCTGCCACCCTCCCAGGGAACAATTCCTGCCCAGTATCCCACTATTCCTGCCCTCTGGCAGTGGGAGCCATTCCCTGTGTCCTGTCCCTCCATCCCTTGTCTCCTGGAGCCCCTTCAGGCCCTGGAGGTATCCCTGGCGTGTTCCCTTCTCCAGGCTGGGCATTCCCAGCTCTCCCAGCCTGGCTCCACGTTCGAGGCCGGGCTCTGGTGGCTCCGCTGTGACCCGAGCCCTGCCTCCCTGCAGAGCGCCACTTCCAGAGGCTGAGCCGCCTGCTCCAGGCCTCCACCTTCGTCGAGTTCATGTGGCACAACATGAGGCTGGCAGAGGTGGCCCAGCAGGACCAGGGCACTCTGTGACCCACCTGCCACCAACTGCTCTTTCCAAAGAGCTCTTTCTCACCAGGATTTTTAGTTCCTGTATTTTATAATAAATGTTTTAATTTCTAAAAAAAGTCTTAACATCTAATCTCCTCAGGGATGAATGAAAGGAAAACACAATAGAAATGGTAATTTCTTTGGCCAAGCTGGGGTTTGTGTTTTCACACCCTGAATTTTCAGACTCACAAACAGCAGGTAGTTTGGGATTAAAAAAGGGCAGAATCCCAACAAGCAATTGGGATTTAAAGGGTTCATGGAGCTGGGATCTTGCTTGGGCAAAGCAGCCTGGACCAAGGCAGGGGTCTCACCCGTGCCCACCCAAAATTTAGCACCAGGGAGGAAGAGAAGCACAATTTAAATTCCCCAAAGAGCAAATTTTTAAAGCATAAAACACAAGCAGGCTTCAGAGATATTTACATGTATTTTATTTCATAGACAAAAATGTATAAAATTCAAACAACATAAACAAATTTCAAGTTCTTTATAAAAATATAACAGATACCTGGGAGAATAAGTACAATTAAAGCCATCAGTGTAGAGAAAAGTCTTAATTTTCCTATAACTCTTTTTCTAACTCATTTCTAGCAAATGAGTTTAGGATTAGAATTGTTGTGAGTTTCAGTAACTAGCCAGTCCCCTGTGAAGAGGAATGTTTTGTCCATAAAAGTGACCTCTGTTCCCATCCCCAGGTGGGACACCAGCTGTGGCTCCCCTGCTTGTGTTCCTGTGCCTGCACAGACCTGGCTGGAGAGAGCAGGGATGAGCTTTCTCCCCAGCAGGTTTTTTATTCTCAACCATTCAGCAGATCCAGTCCATCCCTATATTTCATGGCCTCTCCACTAACCTATTAAAAAATCCCAAACCAACACCAAAAGTCAAAAAGTAAAAAAAAGTCTATAAAATAGGGAGTTCAGTAAGTACCATCACACAGGTGCCCCATCCCATCCCTCCCCAGTCCCGTGACTAGCTCAGGGTGCCAGGGGGCACTGAGGCACTCTGGTGGCACTGAGGCACTGGTGCCACTCCTGTGCCAGCTGATCCTGGCTTGGGGAATAACCCAGCTGTACTGCAGGGAGGAGAAACACTGCCTGGGGAGAGCTCCCGGAGCTCCGAGTGACCTCCAGCTCTGGAGCTGCTGGCTGTGACCCCACTCAGCCCTGTCCCAGTAACTCCCTGGTCCCTGGGCAAGCTGCAGCTGCCCAGGGAGGTGATGGAGGTGTGTGTGTCCCTCGGGAAGGGACAGTCCCAAGCCCTGACACTCCGGAGGTGATGGAGGTGTGTGTGTCCCTCGGGAAGGGACAGTCCCAAGCCCTGACACTCCGGAGGTGATGGAGGTGTGTGTGTCCCTCGGGAAGGGACAGTCCCAAGCCCTGACACTCCGGAGGTGATGGAGGTGTGTGTGTGTCCCTCGGGAAGGGACAGTCTCAAGCCCTGACACTCCGGAGGTGATGGAGGTGTGTGTGTCCCTCGGGAAGGGACAGTCCCAAGCCCTGACACTCCGGAGGTGATGGAGGTGTGTGTGTCCCTCGGGAAGGGACAGTCCCAAGCCCTGACACTCCGGAGGTGGTGGAGGTGTGTGTGTCCCTCGGGAAGGGACAGCCCCAAGCCCTGACGCTCCGGAGCCGCTGCCCACGGCTCGCAGGGGACTCCAGCGAGCGGGGTGTCAGCGCTGTCCCCGTGTCCCCTGCCCAGGGCCACTAATGCCGGCTGGGGAGCGGCAGGGCCGGCCGGGGAGCCGACTGCTGCACGGCGCGCTTGGTGACGGTGCTGCACCGCTGCAGGATCTCCTGGGCGGAGGGACGGGCTGGCACCTTGGGGACACCCGCGGCCAGCCCAGGGTCGGCGAGGGGCAGCTCGGCTGCGGAGGACTCCACGAAGCCGGAGTCGTTCCTGTCCCTGGCGCTGAGGTGTGGGGATTTGCCGCTGTGCGTGGCCGGCCCGCGGCTCGGGCCAGGAGAGCTCTTGGCCGGCTCCACCTCGGGCAGGGACCGAGACAAGTCGGTTTTCCAGGCGCTGCTGCTCGCCGAGCTCAGCGAGGAGCTGTCCGAACCCAAATCCAGCTCCGGGGTGGAGCTGGCCCGCGGCAGAGAGCGGGATCTGCTGCTGGGAGAGCCGCCGTGCTCCGCCCGGGCCGGGCCCCGCGGCTGAGGGGAGCTGAGGCCCGGGGTGCAGGCGGGGAGGCCGCAGCTCAGCATGGTCTGCAGCTTGTGGTGAGGGTTCTGGTAGGGCCGGAGGCACAGCGAGGGCATGTAGCCGGTGCAGCCGTTGTACCTGAGGGCAGGGATGGAAACGACACTGAGAAAACCCTTCCAGCACCTCGGGCCAAGGGGAGGGAGCACTTGGGGAGCAGGTCCGTGCTGTACACGGGGTGTGAGGACAGGGAAAGCATCCCCAGCCAAGGACATCCAGCTCAGGGAGCTCCTGTGCATCCCACTCGGGGAGAACAGCAAGCAGCTCCCTCGGGCAGCCAGGGCTTTGGGAAAGCCTCCTCACCGGATCAGCCACCAGCCGTTGTGGGATGTCCTGAGCACCTCCACGACCACCCCCTGGTTCAGCGAGAGCTCGTCTGCCTTCTGAGCCTCGTAGGCCTGCACCACAAAGTACAGGCTGCCTGCAGAGAGAGGGAGAGGTCAGATCTGCCTTGTGGAGAAAATCCTCTGATCCCTGTGAGAGACCAGCCCAGCTGCAAGGCAGCTGTCCCTGAGAGTGACTGGTTTGCTCAGGAACCCCAGTCTGATCCATTTAAGTTGGATATAAAGAAGAAGTTTTTTACAAAAAGGGTGTAGTGGCCCTGAAAGAGGTTGCCCAGAGAAGCTGTGGCTGCCCCTGGATCCCTGGGAGTGTTTAAGGCCAGGTTGGACAGGGCTTGGAGCAACCTAGGACAGTGGAAGGTGTTGGGGTTGGAACTGGATGGGCTTTAAGGTGTCTTCCAACCCAAACCACTCCATGGTTCCATGACCCACAGGTGGTGGCAGAGCCAACCAGAAAAGTCAGAGGTCCAGGCAGGGACTCCAGGCAGTGGGTAAAATGGTGGGGATTTGCAGAACTCATGTTTTGAAGGAGGAACAGACTTACCCTCCTCGTCCGAGCTGAAGGCATTCTGGATGTCCTCACAGGCATCAAGCTCTTCCAGGTACGAGGCTGGGAACCAGGCTATCTGTTTGTCTGCATTCTCCACCAGCCACCAGCCTACAAAGAGGAAAAATACCCAGATTGTAACAGCCTGCAGGTCAAGACATGACAGTAATCCCTGTGTAGGGGACACAAGAGACAGGAGGGACATTCACTATCACACAAGTGCAAACACCTGAACCTCTGAAACTACCTCAGCATTTGCCTAACTATGAATCCATCTGCCCATCCACCCCAGCACTGAATCCTCTCAAACCTACCAGTCATGTCCTTGATGAGCACTTCCACAATCTCCTTCTGAGCCACTGTGAAGGGTTTGTTCTTTGTGTCTTTGGTTTCAAAGGCCTCGATGCAGCGGTAGCTCTGCGACGCCTGAGGGAGGGTGATGGAGAGGGGCTGGGGGCTCTTCTCCCTTCTGAACACTGATGGCATGATCACCACACTGGAAAGTAAAGGTGCATGTCAAAAACTCACATGAGAGGTTGAGTTTAGTATTGATTTTGGTAAAATCATTTCTGCAGTAGGCTGAGAACAGCTTCAGGCATCAGAAACAAAATTAAAAGCACCCAGCTGAGCTGCCCTGGAGTGTAACTGGTGTTTCCCTTCTATCCATATCCATAACATTTCTGTTTCACCAACAAACAAAAAAATACAATTCATGTTTCATACCTGTTTTCAGGGAAGGAGGGATCGAGGTCTTGAGTCTGTGCCTTGAAAAACTGATTCACCTCTTCACCCCGGGAGATTTTCACATCTGTTTTCAGCAGCTCCTGGGAATACGTTTCCAGCAGTTTCAGGATCTCCAGGCACCTGTTCAGCTTCCCACCCTTTTTCTGCTGCATAGTTATTCCTTCAAAATAACAAGGGCACAGTTGGGATAGGACAGCAATGGATCTGGATCCCTGGGAGCAGCATCTTTTCCCTGAACAGCAGGTGCCCTCACCTCCCACCCTTCCTGCCCAAGCCCAAACTGTACAAAGTCATTGTCCCTGCCTCCCTGTCATTTTTACCAGCTCCTGATAGGATTTTTTAACATCTAAAATGTCTCTTTTTTTCACATGTGAAGTTTCAAGAAGCTCTAGATCAATATTTGAAGTGTAGCATTAATTTGCCAAGTGCAGCTATCTATTAAAAAAGCCTTTCTGGGTCATTTTAAGTCAGTACTAGACCCAAACAAGCTGATGTGACCCAGTGGTGCCATGGCAGGAGCAGGAGTGAGCCCCTGATCTGTTCCAGAGGAAGGTCAGGCTCAGAGGCTTCAGTCTCTGTCATGGATTATGGCTGTCCCTGATCACTCTTGTGTTTGTTGGTTCATCAGAGATTTGTCCTTACCTTTAAACCTGGGCAAACTCCTCAGTGACCCACTCTCAGTGGGGAATTTTCTCTTCAGCTCTTTCTAAAAGCAGGGAGAAGGAGAGAACAGTGATTCCTCACAGCTGACACGTGGCCAGGCTCCTTCCCCTCCCCAGGACAGGAACCTTGAAATTTCAGGAATTGAAAATTCACTTACATGGAATTTCTTAAAGTCTTCAAACGTCCTGTAGATAAGAATGTTGTTCTGATCTGACCAGGACACAAATATCATGTAGTTCTGGGAAAAGAAAAGGAAAAGAAAAGCAGTTTAATCATAATGTTCAATTTCGAATGCTTCCAGACAATCAGCATTTGCTGTGGTTTAGTTGAGGCTTTTAATATCACATTAAAAAATTAAATAAAACATTAAACCTACAAAAATATGTCTTTAATTTCATAGTCCCAAATGGGTAATCATTGCTGAAACCAGGAGAATCTTATGGTGCTGTGACAAAAAGAGAGCAAACCCCAAGACATTAAGCTCATTAAAAAACAAGTCCCCTTATCCCAGACCCCTAGGCTCCAATCCCAATACTATGGGGAATGAGCAAACATATCCCTGGAAGAGTAACTCAAAATCCTCTAGTCTCCTAATTTGTAAATTATATTTAAGGAAGAAAACAAAGCCCCAAAAAAAGAATAAAAATTAAAGTACCTTCTGTTTCCTGCACTGCATGAAGCCGACAGCCTTCACATCCACGGGATACCTGTTGCAGCTCATCTTCCCCACGGCTGCTGCTCCTCCTTCGCAGGGATCCAGAGGGATGCGAGAGGGAGGGATGAGAGCTGGAGGGAGCAGAGATGCGGCTCTAGTCCGACTGCCGAGTTTAAATAGCCCGGAGCAGGAGGCAGGGCAGAGGTGTTCCCGAGCTTCCTCCTCCGCCCAGCGCCCGGGCAGAAATTCCGCGATTTGCCAAACTGCCGCGTGCCTTTTACCTTTCCCCCCGCTTTTAACATGCAAATGCTGCCGGGTGCAGGCGGGACATAGTTCAGGTAGCCGGGGAGGAAAAACAGAGTCTTTTATCAGATCCTTACTAACCAGTGCCGGGAAGGAAGGGAAGGGAAGGGAGCGGAGCTGTTTGCCAGCGCTGGGTTAGAGAAGGTCACAGGGGCTGCAGCACCTGCCCCGAGATATTTCCGGGAGACAGGTGAGGTTTTTATGGCTGTATCACACGGACCTGCAGCTCGGGCTGAGCTCAGACTGATTTAGAACGTGGGTTGTAAAACACAGACAGGCACCATTAAACGTGAGTAATATTTGTTGCAAATATTTTTTTTCCTGCTTTGTCCCACCTGCCGAGTTACTTTAAATAGATTTCTGACAGTTTTATCAATATCTCCATTGAGATGCTGATGTAATGAACAGACACATCCCCAGGATGTAACTAAAAGACTGAAAGCTCCTCAGGTGTAAATATGTGATGGAAATTGAGCTCTGAGTGCTCTGCCCTGTGTCCGGCCAGGCGTCCACACCCTCCCAGGGCAGCCAGCAGCTCTTCCTAAGGAGCAGCTCCACTGCCCAGAGGCACAGCAGGAGAGATAATTCCAGCCTTGGCCAGCCTGTCCTCTCCCTGAACCCCAGGGCTGGTGGGCACTGTGTGATCAAACCGCCTCTTCTTTGATAAACCCTCAATTGAACCATTATCACTATAATTATCTTTATCATTATCATTATTGGAACCCAAACTGAGAGGCTCAGCCGTGCCTCCCTTTCATTTCCCAGCTACACCTGGTGCCTCAAACCCTCAGCAATGGCTGCAGGTGATTTTTCATCTACCAAAAAAAACCCCCAGAGCTGGAACAGGGAGCCAAACCAGATTCCTTCTGGAATGTACAATCAGGAGGGTCTTGTTAAATAGATTTCTGTTTTATCAATATCTCCATTGAGATGCTGATGTAATGAACAGACACATCCCCAGGATGTAACTAAAAGACTGAAAGCTCCTCAGGTGTAAATATGTGATGGAAATTGAGCTCTGAGTGCTCTGCCCTGTGTCCGGCCAGGCGTCCACACCCTCCCAGGGCAGCCAGCAGCTCTTCCTAAGGAGCAGCTCCACTGCCCAGAGGCACAGCAGGAGAGATAATTCCAGCCTTGGCCAGCCTGTCCTCTCCCTGAACCCCAGGGCTGATGGGCACTGTGTGATCAAACCGCCTCTTCTTTGATAAACCCTCAATTGAACCATTATCACTATAATTATCTTTATCATTATCATTATAATTATTGGAACCCAAACTGAGGGGCTCAGCCGTGCCTCCCTTTCATTTCCCAGCTACACCTGGTGTCTCAAACCCTCAGCAATGGCTGCAGGTGATTTTTCATCTACCAAAAAAAACCCCCAGAGCTGGAACAGGGAGCCAAACCAGATTCCTTCTGGAATGTACAATCAGGAGGGTCTTGGTTTGTGATCCAGGAGCACGGGAGGCTGCTCTCACACAGCAGGGCGGCAGCTTGTGGAGACAATGAAAGCAGGTTTATTGCACTTGGGTTTATTGCTGCTGGATATCTGTCCTGCATTAAAAAGGGGAAAGTTATCCAAAGAGCACTTTGGTCCAGTGTGAATTTTGGAGAGAAGAGCTCTCCAACAGCTTCTCCAAGGCATTTTCTGGCTCAGGAAGCTGCACAGGAGCTGCCCTGTGGAAAAGAGATGTGGAGCAGCTCCCTGCCCTCCACAGCCCTGGAATCAGACCCTCCATCTCTCTCTTATAAATCCTCCAGCCAAACCACGTGCTGGTGAGTCTCCCCAGATCAAAGAGTGAGGATTTTATGGAGTGAGAGGAAATCACTTCATCCAGCAGATTTATTTAGAAAGTTCCAGTCTCTGAGGTGTCAAAACCCTTTGCTGACTCCATGTTCTCAAACCTGCACTCACTGGCTTCTCCTTGGCAGCCAAGCCAGGGCCAAGCTCATCCTCATGTGGCTCTTGGAAATATCTGGGACCAAGACTCCCAATGAAGCACCTTGGCTTGGTTTCCTGTCTCAGAGCAAACACAAATGACAACGTATTTCCAAGAACGTAAAGGTTTAAACACGTTTATCCTGACTGGAAAAAGCCAAAGACAAGGAAAGCTTTGGAGAAACTGCAGGATGAGGAGATAGCTGGGGAGGCACAGAGAGCACCTTGATCTGAGGATGCCATAAAAACCAGAGGAGTAGGAAACAGCCTTGGTTTTTCTGTGTTTCATCATTCTCAGGGAATTCAAGCAGAAAGGGAGGTGTGGAAAACATCTAATGGAATGTTACAACAGGAAGGTGAAGCTACACAGGGGTTTACAAGTCACCCGAGGCAGAAGGACCAGCCCTGCAGCTCGCAGAGCTGATCTTCTGGAAAAGATTGGACTGACTGGGAGATTGCTGGTGATAGTGGTGTTGTATAAAACCAAATATGAGCAAAACTGCTCAAAACTCAATAATTGGTTATTGAGAAAAAGTTTTGTGGAAGTGAAGGACTCTGTGACACAGAACTGAGGTGCAGGGAGGGAGGGGAAAAGCCTGCCACTCCTCTGACATACCAACACCTCTGCAGTCACCTGGAGGGCTCAGGTCAGGCTCTGCAGCTGTCACAGCAGTATCGGTGTCCTGGCGGTGTCAAATGTGATGTCACGAAACTGCCTGCTCCAGAATGACCTCAGGAGCCACGTCACATCTGCAGTGACACCGCCTACGAAACCAGAAGGAGGCTGGGCCAGATGGCCCTTGGAAGGGTAAAGTGCTCCTCAAAGCTCTCCACAACTCCCAGCCATGGCGGGGCCATTCCTGTCAGCAAGGATGGGTAACCCATAACTCCTCTTCTCTGCTGGATGCATTTGGACTCGCTTATAAAAAACAAGACAAACATTGTTTTTCCAGCATTATCAAGTTTACTTTGTATCTTCTACAGTTTCCATGTCATCCTGCTATAAATCAGTGCCTCCTCATGGGTAATAATTAATGGCAGAAGAGGAGGGTTCTGCTCAGAAAAAGTGATACTCAGCAAGAATTACTGGACGCTGCTGCTTTATAATCTATATTTATTTACACAGCTCTGAGGGCAGCAGTTAATTTTCCTTTGGTTGTTTTACAAGGTGCCAAAGAGATCGTAAATTAACAGGCAATATGTAAGATTGCCCTGCCCAGCTTTGCCAAGATGCAGGAAACACGGATTTTTCCATAAAGACTCCCATAATTTTGCAGTCTGCTCCAAGAGAGCCTCCTGCACCCCACCAAGGAGCAGCTCTGCTGCTCAAGGAGCATCACTCCAGCCACAAACTGCTCCTCTGGGGACAGAAACACGTTTGTGTCACGGCAGGTGACTAAGGCACTGTCACAGGGAGTCACACCAGGCTGCCTGCCCCAGACTGCCCATGGCTGGGAAGATGAAGTAGGTCAGCCAGAGGTGCAGGAAGGCCCCACAGACACCAGGGCTGTCCCACTGAGTACTTCCATGCCAAGATCAGCCTCTCTTCCATGACAAATAAAGACTGATGCTCTGCTTTTCTATTCATTTCAGTGTGGATGAGGAGTAATTTCAGTAGAAGCAGAATCTGAGTGCACAGATGCTCAGGGGCAGCCAAAGGCAGCTCCTCTCCAGCTCCTCTTGAGCCATTTTCCAGGTCCAACAAGAAACAGCCATGTCTCAAATGCTTGGAGAGGAGCAGCTGTGTTCTGAACATCTTTCCCACACACAAGTCGTGTCTGGGCTGCTGAGTGACCTGTGCCCCTCATGGCTGACTATGTATGGGACTCTGCATCAGGGATTTCTCCTTCTGTGGCCGCCACAGGAAAGGCAAAGAGAGGAAAAGTCCTCAAACTACCCTCAGGACACTGCAGCCGCGAGGAAGAGAGACAGAAAGGAGCTGTGGGCACAGCCAAGGGGGGCCTGGAACAAAGCTGGGGGAAAAGCTTCATCTTTCCCTTGCTCACCTTCAGGATCAAAACCTGCCCTTTACTGTTCTTGAAGGTCACCTGTGATGACACATGACCTATCAGCACCTTTAATGAAAAGCCCAGATGCTAAAAGCCGATTTTAAAAGTACAAAGAGGTTTTAGACTTTTAATAAATAGAGACACAGACCTTTATTTAAAAAGAATAATGAAAACCCAGACACTGGAGTTGACAAAAGTCTCCTTCACCTCATGAACAAAGGAAGCAGTTGAACTTTCACACAGGCTGGGATGAGAGATTTTGCAGTAACTAATCCAGAAGAAAGTATTTCATTTTATCCTAATTCCAGCAGCTGCTGCAGGCAGTAAAG